CGGGGTCCAGGGCCCTGCCCCCCCTCCTTGCCTGGGGCACTGTAGAGGTTGTCCACAGCCTCCCGGCAGCACTGGGGCTCCACCTCTGACCACTGGCCAAAGTACGTGAGCCGAACATGACCTTCCCGTCAGTGTGCACAGGGGATGGAAGGGGGACAAAAAATATGATCAGTCATTGCTGAGCAGCTGGCCTGGGGGAGGGGCCTCCAGGACGTCCCCCAACACAAGGCAGGAGTCACTGGCCTCACTAAGCATGGCCTCCCTGAGGCCTGGAGACAACTGGGTATTCATAGGAGCTGCTGCCCTGGACTCCTGGGCCCGAAGGGGCTTGTTTCCAGACGCAACCTGGGAACTTCGCAGAGTCTTGTGTGAAAAGACTTGCGGGGGAGAAGAGGGGTGGGAGGCTGGCTGGTGTGGCTCAGTGGTTGAGCGTCCACCTTTGAACCAGGTCACCGTTTAATTCCCGGTCAGGGCACATGCCTGGGTTGTGGGCTCGATCCCCTGTATGGGGCCTGCAGGAGGCAGCCGATCAATGATTCCCTCTCATTATTGATGTTTCGCTCTCTCTCCTTCTCTGAAATCAAGACAAATATATTAACAACAACAACAAAAGGCTGGGGAAGCAGATAACCTCCGCCATTCCCTCGAATTAGTGGCACTCTCCTCCGTCTTGAGGCTTTGCCTGCTCCCCCCCCGCTCAAAATATGGGAAAGAAAGACAGGGATAAAGTGTTTCTGATGCAACAAGGAGAGAGAAATACTTTCCTACTAAAATTAGGCACGCCCTGCTCCTGCAGCGCCTCCAGGGCCACCAGCGTCTCAGCCGCCCACTGCTTGACCTGCTCTTCCTTCACGCTCCAGGCGCCCCCGCCAGACCCCTGGCTGGCCTTGTCCACTGAGGGGCAGCCCTGACCTCTGCTGCGGCCACAGCCCCCCAGCACCCGGCCTGCCCCCTCGCGAACCCAAGAGAGCCCCCAAGGGGACCCAGTGTCTGAGTTCTGGCCAGGTCCTCTCCGGGACTGGAGGTGCAGGCGGCCACCGGGAGCCTTCGGGGGGTCCGAGGAGCAGGAAGTGCTGGTCCTGGCTGAGGGTGCACCTTCGGCCTCTCTCTGGGGTCTGACGGGTGGGACCTCCCTGGCTGGGGCAAGGCTCCAGCAAGTCCAAGGAGACTCCAGCGGCACTCTGTCCTGCAGGTGGGTGTGGCCAGGGGGCAGCGGCGTTGGGGTGTGGAGGCTGAGGCGGGAGTTGAGCTGAGCCTTCATCCTCTCCAGGCTGGAGCCAGACCCGAGCCCAGACTGTTGGGGGCGTGCCTGGGAGAGCAGGTGGGACCAGAGCGTGCCTCCTGGCCAGGCGGAGGGAGCGGCAAGCATGGGGATGGAAGAAGAAGAGCATGGACACCGGGTCCGGCCCCACCCTGCGGGTCCTCTGCCCTCCGGTCCTCGCCTCTGCTCCTCCCTCCCGGAGCCTGAACCTAGAACGACCTCTCCTTCCTGTCACTCACCTAGAGAGGACCCCGCCTCCCCATCTGGCACGAAATAGGTGCTTAACCCCTAAGGAAATGTGAATTATTGTTAATGTCCTTGGTTTTGGTGTTGGTTTACCAGTGTTCAATATATTTTATACATATATACATTTAAAAATTTCTAGGGACAATAGTACAATGAAATGTAAGTTAGTAAAATAAAAGAAGGGCAGGCATGGACCTGTGATGACTCTATGTCAGGGGGCCTCAAACTTTTTAAACAGGGGGCCAGTTCACTGTCCCTCAGACCGTTGGAGGGCCGGACTATAGTTTAAAAAAAAACTATGAACAAATTCCTATGCACACTGCACATATCTTATTTTGAAGTAAAAAAACAAATGTTTTCGGTGGGCCGCATATGACCCGCGGGCCGTAGTTTGAGGACCCCTGCTCTATGTTATGAACTAGAATGTGCACCTCATTAAAAAAATCTCATCACCTGCCCTAGCCGGTTTTGCTCAGTGGATAGAACGTCGGCCTGTGGACTGAAGGGTCCGGGTTTGATTCTGGTCAAAGGCACATGCCCGGTTGTGGGCTCGATCCCCAGTAGAGGGTATGTAGGAGGCAGCCAACCAATGATTGTCTCTCATCATCAATGTTTCTATCTCTCTCTCCCTTCCTCTCTGAAATCAATAAATATATATATATATTTAAAATCTCATCACCCTAACAGGAGATCAATAAATACCTGCTACATGACCAGCTCCTGTCCTTACAGCTTCAGAACCACCACCCCACAGGGCATGAAAAGAGCCAGGACTGGAGGACATGGTGACAAAGCGGACACCTGCATACATGTCCTCTCGCCAGCCCTACGTGAACATTTTCCCCAGGATGATCCTGCCCCTCAGCACCCCTGGGGCCCACACAGCCTGACCCGGCCATCACCCTCCAGCAAGGCTGGGCCCTGGTCTGTGCTGCACACCTGGTGCGAGTTGCCCCCTCCCTCGGTTTTGGCATTTTAAGGGCAGGAAAGGGGACACCTCCCCAAGGCCCCTCACCTTGCACGTGCTCCAGGTGCAGGAAGATGGAGTCCTCGCTGACAAAGTACCGCAGCAGCTTGGTCATGTAGGGGACACCGTGCGGGATGATGGTCAGCCGCTCCCGGCTCGCCGTGTGACACCTGGACAGGCTCTGGGGAGGGGGCAGGCCAGAGGCTGCTCTGCTAGGGCACGTCAGAGCCCCAGCTTCAGTGACCACCAGATGAGGGAGGGGAGCCACCCTGAGGAGCAACTGCCTCCCCCACTTCCTGCCCTGGCCCTCACCCCTGTCTTCCCTATGCCGTCCAGGTCCCCCACCTTCCAGGCCAGGGAGGAGGCAGTGAAGTGTGTGTGTCTGGAGGGCCGGGGCACGCTCAGGGCAGGACAAGTGGCTTTCGGATTTGGGGGGAGCATGGACTTCATATAGAGGTTCTGGGTAGGGGGTTCCCTGGAGGGTAGCGGGGTCTAAGAGCTCTGAGAAAGTCCCAAAAGGAATGCAGAATGGAGGGGGCTGGGCGGCACCTGCCTTCACCACGAAGGTCCCTCCAGTCGCTGGGTCCTGGACCAGCTGCACCTGCCAAGGTCCAGGAGGCACTGGTCAAGGCACATGCTAGTTCCTGGGGCTCCACGGCCCTCATCCCAGCCCCCAGGTTCCTCCACTGAGGCGGACTCACTCCAGAGGCAGGGCAGAGAAGGCAGGCCCCCAAACGGACATCAATCCTGACCTGCTCATCCACTCTTCTTAGACCTGCAGGTCTTAGCTCATGTGCCGCCGCCTCCAGGAAGCCTTCCCAGCCCTCAGGTGCTCTCCCAGCTCACCCATAGGGGAACCTTATCACATGGTGTCTAATTTCCTGTCTCCCCACTACACTGTGAGCCCCAGGAGGACAGGAACCCCACTGTCCAGCTGTTTCCAGAGCACACATCCATGGGGAGTGGCCCAACCTGCAGGGTCCGAAGGTGTCATGGATGGAAACGACCTCAGAACCAGTGATTGTTCTTTCATTTTATAAGTGAAAGGCTGAGGCTCTGAGAGTGTGGCCCAGACCACCAATGGGCCAAGCCGTGCCCACGTGCCTGGCTGGGAGTGCTCTCTCAGGCCTCACCCACTGACACCCACCCTTCTTTTAAGTAATTCTCTCTGGAGGCTGTCTTTGGAGAGCAGCCCACTCCTTCGCCCGTTGGTTTTGTTCAGAGGCAGGGCCTTGTATCAAGTTGGGAACTTGCCCCTTCTCGTGGTGGGCAGGGTGGACCCCAGGCACAGGAGAGGGCATGCCGGGCATGTCGGGGGCAGAAAATGGCCCAGATTAGGGGCCTGCAGGGGCAAGACCACTGGGTGAGGTTGTGACTCCTTGCAGACACTCCCCGTGGTGGTGGGTGGAGCCCGGCCCACAGGCTAGACCACTGGGCAGTGAATCCTGCAGCCTCAGGTTGGAACTGGGCTTAGATCTTAAGCAAGTGAATCGGCTTCCTCATCTACCAAAGAGCGATCGCAAATGCCCCCTTCCCTCATCACCGGTTTGGTTGATGCCATCTTGGATGTAAAGGCCGTGAGCATGCCAGTTGTCACACTTGCCAACACACATCACCTCTCTGAACCTTGTTTTCTTAATTGCAAGTTGGGGTCATAGCAGTACCCCATCTGGAGGTCATTAGGATTCTATAAAGCAGACAACTCAAGCAGAGCAGCAACCTGTGCCTGCCACAAACACGCCCTCGATAATCTGTAGTGATGATGATGATGATGATGATGATTAAGAACCCCACTGGCTAGGGAGCACATACTCTGTGCTAAATGCTTTATATGATTTAGGCCCACAGCCCTACTTGGTGAGTGTTATTGGTGATCCATTTTATTGATGAAGAAATTGAGGTTCAGCCAGGCCTGTGTTGCTCAGTGATTGAGCATTGACTTATGAACCAGGAGGTCATGGTTCGATTCCCAATCAGGGCACATGCCTGGGTTGTGGGCTCCATCCCCAATAGGGTCGTGCTCTCTCATCATTGATATTTTTATCGTTCCCTTTTCCTTCCTCTCTGAAATCAATGAAAAGATTTTTTTTAAAAAGAAATTAAGGTTCAGAGAGGTTATGTTGCCCACGATCCCGCTCCTGAAAAGTGGTAGAGCCAGGCCTTGGATCCAGGCAGGCTGACCCCGGGCCCTGGAGAATAACCGCACTTGGGGGCACAGCCGGCTCACTCTGGCACATGCCTTCCCCTCTGGGCCCCAGCGTCCCGGTCACCAGTGAAATGAAGGCGGTGGACTTGGGGCAGCAGGAGTGAGGGGGCTCCTCCTCCAAGAGCCACAGACTGAACCCAGCCTGGCCCAGCTCCTTTGCCAAGTCTGTACAATGTTTGAAAAAGAAATCTGGGGTCATTTAGGAGAACAGTTTCCCACAAGTACCGACACCCGGATAATTCCCCACTGTCCCTTGCCAAGTGGGGCTTCCTACTACCTCGTCCGGGACACAGCCCTCTCATTCACAGAGCCCAGAAACCAGCGGGAAGGTCGGGGCAGTGAGAAATAAAACGCAATCAGGACATTGAAACAAGGGGGTTAAACTCTATACGTACATGAAAACCTACCGATCTGGAAAGAATTCGACCAGAACATTAGCAGTAATTATCTTGGAGTGAGGTAGGGTGGTGGGGAATTGTTTCTGTTTTAAATGTCTTCCTCTTTCCTGTTATCTCAAAAGGGTAGCAGACAGGGCATCTTCCCATTAAGCCCAGCAAACAAACACACCGCCTTCCTCTTCTGCTCCTTGCTACGCGAGACACAACACCTGCTAGGCACGTGGCCTCTGTGGCCTCAGTTTCTCGCTCCGTAAGAACAGTTACTAACAGTCAGCTCTACCCAGAGGAGCTTGTGGCCGTGAAGGAAAACCCCACGGCACCGTCCCATGTGGGAGCCATTACCCACGGGTGGCTATCAAGCCCTTGAAATGTGGCTGGTGCAGCTGCTGCAGCTTCTTTGGTGAAACACATGAACACTTTCTGTAAAAATGCCCAACGTATCAAAACCCCAGAAGGAAGCTCTCATGGAGCTAACAAGCCCAAAAGCTGCCAACAGGTTTGCAAAATCCAAGGTCCACGGGGGCTGGGCATGGGAGCCCAGTGAGCAGGGCGGGGGCGGGAGCGAAGCAGAGGCCGGTGTCCCTTCAAGCGGGCAGCCCTTCCTCCACTCCCTGCTGCTTCAGGGACCCCGAGCCAGCCTTTCCAGATCTCTGGATTTTGAGGAGAAGCAGGATATCTGGATGTTTATATGAAACCTGCCAACTTTTAAATGTTGGTAACTAATACATTTTTTAAAAAACACCCCGGTGTTTGAGCCAAAAAAACAAGAAGTGACTCGAACGACCTTTTTCTTCCCCATCCTTGACTCAGAGCCTGGATCCTGGACACGGCTCGCAGGCCTCCAGGCTCCCCGAGGGCAGACGCCTGGGTATTCTGGCCGACTGCCTACCTAGTCCTTGACCAACCCACCTCTGTTCCCTGCCACCCTCTATGCCTGCCAGTACCTCTTCAGCCCCAGAGACCCCCTCCCGACAACCGGGCATCTCAGGGGACGCGCAGGCTTCCTGAGCCAGCTCTTTGCCCTCCCGGGCTCTGTGCTGGGGGCCGCTGCTCTCCTGCCCGGACCTGCCTGGGCAGAGCCTTTGCCCTCCCGGGCTCTGTGCTGGGGGCCAGCGCTGCTCTCCTGCCCGGACCTGCCTGGGCAGAGCTGTGGAATGGGACACCGTGAGGCACATCAGACCTGGCCCGAGGCTGCCGAACACCTCTCCTAATTTGGGGAAATTGGTGCTCCTGGCTTGGGAACGGCGCAGGAACAGGAAGCTGGATCTCTGGAGGGAGGTGGAGCAGGTGAGGCGAATGCCCAAGAAAGGGTGAAAAAGGAAGGCAAGGCGGTCTCAAGACAGAACGGCTGCTGTCCACGTGCAGGACTCAGAACACTGGGTTCCGAAAACGCTTTGCCCAGGGGTGACCGAGGCTTAAGCAAATGAGGGGGATCCTGTCACAGACCTCGCTCTTGGCAACTCAAGGTGCCCATGTGCATCCTACAACTCCTGTAATTTAAAAAACAGCCCTGGCCGGTTTTGCTCAGTGGATAGAGCGTCGGCCTGTGGAATGAAGGGTCCCGGGTTCGATTCTGGGCAGGGGCATGTACCTTGGTTGCGGGCACATCCCCAGTAGGAGGTGTGCAGGAGGCAGCTGATCGATGTTTCTCTCTCATCGATGTTTCTAACTCTATCCCTCTCCCTTCCTCTCTGTAAAAAATCATTAAAAAAAATGCAGATGCTAAAAGCTAACACTACTTTTCTCAGGTCTTTAAAAAATAAATGAATAAATAAATAATAAAAAACAAAGTAGTGTAACAACAACTCACTATTTGCCAAGCTTCTGTCACCCGGAACTCCTCTCCCCCCAGCACCCCTGGCTCAGCGGGATCCCATGTGGGGCAACGGGGTGGCAGTCACCTCCCAGCCTGTGCAAGCCACATGGACTAGTTGGCGGGAGGGCAGGACTGCACAGATGGAGCCTGGCTGGGCCTTGCTGACATACTGGGGTCCATTCCAGGGACCTGGGAGTAGCAGCTGGAGCAAGGCTGGGGACGGGAAGCTGCATGCCTCCGGACTGGCGTTGGTCACCCGCATCTAGAGCCATCCAACGTGCATCACGTGTTTAAGCATGTGCCAGGCCTTTCCCCTAAATGAACTCATTTTAGTTCCCACATCACCCCGTGGCGGGAGGGTCCTCACCCACTGACCGGCGGGTGCTGAGAGGCGAAGGACCTGCCCTTGGCCGCCTGTGTGCTGCCCACACAGACTCCATCCTCCGGCGTGTGCAGAAGCACACACTGGCCTCCTCCGCTCTGAGGCTCCCGACCCATCAAATCCCCCGTGAGTGTTGGAATTAACAGATACCCGGCTTTGGAATTACAGATACCCGGCTCGACCCCAGAGATTCTGACTCAAAGGGCCTGCGGTGGGGCCCAGGCGTCTGTATTTTGGGGGAGCTCCCCAGGTGATTCTGACAAACAGCCAGAATGAGAAAGAACTTCTTCAGTGACTCCTCAGGCAGCCCTTGGTGGGGGCAGAGGGCAATCGAACACTGGCTCTGTGGGTGAAAAGGGGGCCACAGACGAAACCTGACAAGCTCAGGGGAGGCCTGCCTGACGGGCCTTACAGACTCAGGGACCGGAAGTAACCACACAGGGTGGTCTGAGCATAAAGCTTCCTAACCAAAGGAGAGTCGTAGAGGGTCCTCACGTCCTAGGCCTATGGCTTCCTTGACAAACCTCAATCTGTACCTTAGGTGAGCCTGTCATTTTGCATCTAAGATAACATACCTTTGAAATGTCAGCATTATCTCCTTTGCAGACACCCCCCCAGGGAACAACCTCCCACCAGATCAGGAGACCACAGAACCCCTCATGGTATCTTGTTCCCGGAATCCCGTCTCCATGTGCTGTAAACGTTACTCAGTGCCTGCCCGGTGCCCTCCCAGGCAAAAGAAGTACGTGCCTACCCATTTTACTTTCTACCCAACCCCAGAGATTTCCCCAAGTTGCTCTCCCGCCTCCCTCATCTATCGCCAATGAATTTTAAGTAACAGCCCCCCTTGGTCTCCCCTTTAATTTTAATGTATAAAATAAGTGGTAAAACTGACATTTTTTCTGGAACATTTTCTCAATCCATTGAGATTTTGCTTCCCCACAATTGTCATCAGTTGGGCTCAAATAAACTCATAAAAATTCGTACAGGTTTGGACGTTTCTTACACCGACAGCTCCAATCTCATTTGACCCAACTGTTTGTCCTTCTGACCTCCACTCTGAGTGTCCCAGGTACGGGTTGGGATGTCAGTTCCTATCTTCCTGTCTGCCTCGAGTTAAGGGGAAGGGTCCCAGGTGGGGTGAGGAGGAGGGTGGGGCCGGAGAAAGGGCAGAGCTGCCAGGCCCTGGATGATGCACGGGCCAGCGGGACACTCGGAGGCAGGTTTCTGGGGATGAGCACCTTCCCGCCACGGGACCTTCGCTGTGCTTGGTGGGAGACTCGGCTGCAGCCCTGGGGTGCAGAGGGAATGCGGGGTGGGGGCCGGTGGGAAGTGGGAGTGAGCCGGGGTGGGTGGCAGGATGCCCTGGGCACAGCTTCTCCTGAGGCTTCTGTCTTGACTCCCGGAGGGAGCAGTTTTCTGCGTGTGAGCTGGAGGGCTGTGGAAAGGCGCTGCCTGCCTCTTGGGTTCCCAGCTTCCTTCCCAGGACCTGACTGGTGTGTGCTGGGGCAGGGAGGGATGGGGGGCTGCTGCCCCCTTTTCAGTCTCCTCTGAAGGACTGGGCGTGGCTGCTCTCTCTGCCCACTCGTCACCCCAATCGCACACACCACCTCCTCCCACACCAAGGGCCCTGCTTACTCACCTTCTCGATGACCCCGACCACCCTGCAGCCCCTCAGCTGCTCCAGGGCAGAGCTCAGTGTGCGGATGGGCCGGAGCCTCAGGCTGCTGAAACCCTGCGGAGGGGAGACGGCTCAGGGCCCAGCCCTCCTCAGCCAGGCAGTGGGCAGGGCCTTCAGCTGCCGGGGGAGCACAGGGAGTGGGCAAGAATGGGGTACGGTCCAGCCTCACCTCACAGGGACAGGCTAGCAGAGAAGCTGGTCCTGACTTGGGCGGGGGGCCCACTGCCCTCTTCACTCAGCGCCCCCACCTCACACCCCACCCCCTCGCAGCCCTTCTCCAAGGCTCAGGGAGTCCCTAAGGCTTAAGCCCCCCTATCTCCAGGAGGCAGATGCTCCCGGGGGTGGGGAAATAACCTGGGAACGTGTGGATCCCAGGGAACATGCCTCGAAGACCAAGGCATGTGGCTCAGGCACCTGATTTGGGGAAAAGTGAGCCTAGGAGGGGTGCGTGTGCATGTCTGTGCACACCTGTGGGCATGAGAGGTGTGCGTGCATTTTCAACCCCCTCTGTGTGTGCCCTGGGTTAGGAAAAGCCACATGGGGAGAGCATCCGTGCACATCTATGTATGCATGTATGTGTATGTGCACACGGCGGTATTCGTGCCTGCTCCACATACTGAGGCCCGTTCAAACACAAACAGCCCTGGGAGCCTTGAAGTGTGTGCCCATGCGAGCATGTGTATGAGCCGTGGGCGAGGGTGGGGAGATGTGTGTGTGTGCTCTGTGAGGGCGCGAGACTGGACTGGGGATGATTCACTCAGTGTTGGAAAATGAATGAACTACAGAGGGTGTGGGAGCGAGAGGAAGCCAAAGGAGGGGGGAGGAGGGGCGGCCTCGGCACCCACCACTGCCCGCCCAG